GGAGGTGGGATGGGTGCAGGAAGGCTAAAAGCACCATGCTCCCAGGAACATCCTAGCAGCAAATACTCACTTCTGATGCAAGCCCTGAGAACCCATGCCTATTCCTCATATTTTTTTGCCAGGAGAACAAGCTGAAGTTTGCAGCCTACTTGGAGGAGCAGTACAAGGTGAAGATCAACCCTTCGTCCATGTTTGATGTTCAGGTCAAGCGAATCCATGAGTACAAGCGGCAGCTACTGAACTGCCTGCACGCTATCACCCTCTACAACCGTAAGTCCTGCCTGGGCTGGTACATAAGGAGCGTTCCCCAACCTCTCACTGCCAGGGTCCCCATGTAAAACTATGGCAGCTGGTGGCCACGGACTCCTGCACCTAGCTCTGCCCTCCTGTCATGAAGGGCTTCTCTCCAGGAGGGAATACAAAATGTCTGAAGGGTCATACAGAGCTCTGAGGAAAAATTCACAGCCCATGTTTCCAGCCCAGCGGGTGCCCAGGTAACCCCCACACCTGTTCTGCAGGTGTTGAGACTGACCTGATGCAAGTTAAAGCCCCGCTTCCCAGTGTACACTTTGGGACCCTGCCCATTCCCTAAGGGAGGCAAGTCATTTGAGCTCTGCATTGTGCTGGCTTGAGTAGTTCTTCAAAGATTCTGCAGCCAGTTTTCACCCACCACAGCTCCAACAGATGTCTGGTTGGCTTCAGGGTCCTGCAAGTCTGATGGGTCCTCGTGACATGGGCTGAGATCCCAGCCCACCTCTGATGCATGCAGTAAACTTCAGTTGTGAGGATTTTTTAATTTCTTTTTTTAAGATCAAAATTGAGCTTTCAAATTTGAAAAATTCTGAAGAAAGGTCTCTGCTCTTTCAGGCATCAGAAGTAATCCATCCAAATCCTGTGTGCCCAGGACTATTATGATTGGAGGAAAGGTAAATGCGTTCCAGACTCGGTGCATGCCTGGCTCAGTGAGGGGGTGGGGAAGGTGCTGTCCCCTTTCTGTGACTTCTGTAGGTTACCCAGTGTGTGTCTGCTGTTGGGCTCTTCAGGAAACACCTCCACGAACTAACTGGATTGAGCAAGGCCCCATCACTGTTTCCCTGTGCCTCAGGACTTGTCCTCCCATGAGGGTGTTTTTGCTAAATCATGGCTGGGAGAATTAGGATTTTTCAGTTTGGAGAAGAGAAGGCTCTGGGGAGACCTTACTGCAGTGTTTCAGTACTTGAAGGGGGCCTTTTAAGAAAGAGGGAGGCAAACTTTTTAGCAGGGCCTGTTACAGTAGGATGAGGGACAGTGGTTTTAAACTGAAGGAGGGTCAGTTTACATTAGATCTAAGGTGTAAATTTGTTACAGTGAATGTGGTGAAGCACTAGAGCAGGTTGCCCAGAGGTGGCAGATGCTCCATCCCTGGAAACATTCAGGGTCAGGTTGAAGGAGGCTCTCAGCAACCTGGTCTAGTTAAAGATGTCCCTGCTTATTGCAGGGGGGTTGGACTAGATGGCCTTTAAAAGTCCCTTCCAGCCCAAACCATTCTATGATTCTCTGTGAACAGCAGAGGTCAGGCCCAGACTCTCCCTGCAGCGAGGACCCATGTTGGTATCTCTCCTGCTCTCCTTTATAAGCCTTCACCATTTCTGGGCTGCTCTTCTTCAGGCAGCTCCTGGCTACCATATGGCCAAGATGATCATCAAACTCATCACATCCATTGGTGATGTCATCAACAACGATCCTTACGTGGGGGATAAGCTCAAGGTCATCTTCCTGGAGAATTACCGGGTATCCTTGGCCGAGAAGGGTAAGTCTGGTCTTGTGTAAGCATATGTCAGGAGCTGGGCATGTCCCAGCTAAGCTGTTGTGGCAGGACAGGAGGGTGCCCCTTGGGAAGGGCCTGAGAGTTCCACAAAGATCAGGAAGCCAGCTTCATGGAGGAGTGACAGCAACTGCACTGGGTTATGGCAGAGCTGAGCCTGGCCCCAGTCGTGCTGTTTGGGCTGAGGTTGAGGTCAGAAGGGCCACTAGCAGATGCCCAGGCTTGTCCGAGTTGTGGGGAGCCGCATGTGCCAAGGATTAACTCCTGCCTCTCTTGCACCCGGCAGTGATCCCAGCAGCGGATCTCTCCCAGCAGATCTCCACAGCCGGCACAGAGGCCTCAGGTACTGGCAACATGAAGTTCATGGTGAACGGGGCCCTCACCATTGGGACCATGGACGGGGCCAACGTGGAGATGGCTGAGGAGGCAGGCGAAGAAAACCTCTTCATATTTGGCATGCGGGTGGAGGATGTGGAGGCCCTGGATCGTAAAGGGTTGGTACATGCCAGGGCTTTTCAGCTACAGGTCCCAGCTCAGGCAGAGAGAGCCATGTTCTCTGGGAGGGACACCTTCCTCCCTGGGCAGCTCTGGAGCAGGAAAATACAGGGGCTGGAGGCAGCCTCTGCCGTGGGCTGGGCCATGGATGGTCCATCAGGGATGCAGCTTGCCCAGAGCACAGTGGCTGTGAATGGGACATAAGTCTGAGCAAAAAGTCTTTCAGGCACTGCTACTGGTCTAGAAGCCACTAGCAGGGTGCTCTGATGGACATACCCAGGAACAAGTCCCCTCACTTAGGAGCCATATAACATCCTTACCTACCCTCCCTGTGCCTAACAAGTCAGGCCCTGCTGTCCGAGTGCTGGGCCCCAGGAAGAGCATCAGTCCCTGTAGCCTGTCTCTTGGCACAGGTACAATGCCCGGGAGTACTATGAGCGCCTGCCAGAGCTGCGACAGGCCATCGACCAGATCAGCAGCGGATTCTTCTCCCCTCGAGACCCTGGTTGCTTCAGGGATGTCGTGAACATGCTCATGCACCACGACAGGTGAGCGCTGGGAAGCATTCCTTTGGTGGGCTGCGCTCAGCCTGCTTTGGCCTCCTTCCCACCAGCCTGGGTCCTCCTGCACGGGGGCTGAGCCTTCCCAGAAGGCAAAGCCCTGCCCTACTCTGCTTTGGGTTTCAGGTTTAAGGTGTTTGCAGACTATGAGGCCTACATTAAATGCCAAGGCCAAGTGGACCAGCTGTTCATGGTAAGACATGCCTGCTACTGAGTGGGAGGGATGGGGTCTTTGGCCATGGCAGTAGAGTGGGGAGAGTGGGGGGAGTCCTTCTCCCAGACACCACAGTGTGTGGGCATGGGGCAGGGCAAGGCAGGTTTTGCTGCTCTGGCAGCCCCACACCACGGCGTTGGAACCCGTCAGGCGTGTGTTGCCAGTGCCCTGCGACGCTGCAAGCAGGGACAGAGCTGGGTGAGGGACTGACTGCCGACATTGCCTCTCCTCAGGATCCCCGCGAGTGGACTAAGAAAGTCATCAGGAACATTGCGTGTTCGGGCAAGTTCTCCAGTGACAGGACCATCACGGAGTACGCCCGTGAAATCTGGGGTGTGGAGCCATCTGCCACAAAAATCCCCCCACCCAACCTCCCCCGAGATTGATGCAAGCACAGAAGGAAGGAAGGAGGAATAGGCTCCCAGCCCAGGAGGCCTCACCTGCATTTCACCCCCAGTCAGATGGGCTCAGCTCTGCAGAACCAAGGCCTTTCCCTCAGGGGGCAGATGGATGCTCTGAGGAGGAGCCCTGACTGAGGAACCACAGCTGGGGGACAGGAGAAAGGACCTTGTGTTTGCACCCATGTATCCAGCCTGCATGTGCTGCGTAGTGCTTCTAGTGAGATGACCATGGATAAGACTTCCAAGCTGTGCTCCCTGCTTAACAAGGGCTTTCTAACTAAACCCTCCCCTTGGCCCCTGCAGACAAGGGCCTGGCCTCCTTGACCCTGCCCCACAAGCAGGATTAGCCAACACAGAGCCTGTCTTGCATCCTCCTCTGGGGTCTGCCAGGCCCAAAACTAGGGGAGGGAGAGGCCTCACTGCTTCCCTGGCCAACCCCTTCCCCAGTAACACCTACAGAAGATGGGGCTGGCTCTTAAAGCAGTTGGGCCCAGGGCAGTCACCAATGTCAAACACTGTGCTGAAAGGAGAGCCTGGGCTTGGCAACTTCCCTGTCACAGAGCTTACCATAGTTTCCTACCACACCTCTTTGCTAACTAAAGGCCCAGTAACCAAGCCACTCCAAGGATTTTTAGTCTCTGTGTCTGCACAGAGGGCTGCCAGAGCCACCACTGCCAGGTGAGTGGCTGATCTTTCTGGCTCTTGGCTCTCCAGGTACAGCTGTGGGCTGGGTGCTACCCAGGGGGTGAACATGGATCACATCTCTGGCATTCCTCCACAGCAGGGTCATGCTGTTCCACGTGCCCCTCCCAGTGCTGAGGTCAGAGTTTAACACCCATAATGCAGCATAGTGCACCAGTACTCCCCTGTGTGACACCAGATCATTAAAACAACCTGAACACCTGCTGGTTTGACTTTGGACTGACTTGTGACTACTCCACACCTCTGCGTTCAGGTTGCAACAAGTTCAGGCCATGACTCCTGAACTGATGCTGTCCTTCCCCAGCTGTGGCTTCATGGGATGTGGTCCTGTACAGCTGATGGCATGCTGGGGTGCTGGCACCGTCATGGGGGCAATGTGCCTGTGGTCAGTCTTGGCAGTGCTCAGGGTGTGCAGGAAGAAGTGGATGTGAGTGGCTGCACTAGGCTAACTCCAGCCAAAGCTGTCTACTGGTACCATGGGCATGCTGACTATATGCACCAGGATGGGGGTTGCTGTGTTGGGTTTGCCTTGCAAATGGCACACAGGGCTCCTGTACTACAAATCTCACAGGTAGCTCCCATTTCCCCCATTTCCTGGGGAGAAGCAGAACCTCAGCTGCAGACAGACTACAAGCACAGACCCTCTGGGGTCCAGGAGAGCCATTCCTCCCCAAGGTGGCAACACCCAAAAAGATTTGCCCAGTCCCGGCTGTAAGCTCACTTCCCACACACAACCCTACTGCAGCCTTGCCACACCCCTGACAATGCTGACCTGTTCAACCAGGGAAGAAGTCCCAAAAACTGCCAGATAAAACTGGTAAAGCTGAAGTGATCAGCAGTCAATGCCTTTATTAAAACTACACCACTTTTAGATAAACATTTCAGTTTAAATTTCCAAGCATATCACTGGCCTACTAACAGGAATGATGCTGTTGGAATCACCCACACCAGCAGTTCTCATGCTGGACTCCCAGCTCTGTCCCACAGGGGGAAGGCAGGCAGCCAGGCCCCAGCTCAGGCTGCGCTTTGCCCCAAGCCAGCTGGCAGCAGCAGCATTAACTGGAATGTGTGTGTTACTCTCCAGAGCCAGGTAATTGTTTCTCTTCTGTCAGTGCAATAAATTACGTTTGATGCACTTGTATTTAAGTGGCACAGCTAGCTTATGAGTATCGCGGGTCAGAAACCTCTGGGACAACCACGCTAATGGCAGAATAATCTTGGTACAAGAACAAGCTAGTGTCTCTTTTGCAACTAGTATGAGCCTGCAGATATAACTGGGATGCATGCTGAGCAGTTTATACTATGCTGTACACCCCTGAAGAGACCTTTGAGGCAGCACAATTCATTCTGAGCACTAATGACTAAACCTACAGCACCTGGTACTGTCTGTATAGAGTGATGGGGGCAGGGCCAGATCCCAGTGAGTCAGTGTATGACCCTCTCCCATCTCAGTGCAGAGCTCTTCAGTGGCATAAACCAGCCCCTGTTCTCACCCCAGGCAGGGCAGGGACATTCCCAGAACCTCTCCCTGTGAGAAAGGCTCATTTCCATTTCTGTCTCCTGGATAATGTGCTTCGGCCATGGCTGTCAAAGGGGCTGAGACGTGCTACTGGGAGTGCACAGAAGGGAGGGGGAGGAAGAGATGGGGAGCAACACCCCAGATTTATTTTTGCATCAAGAACTACACACCACTGCCTGCTTTTAACTACAGTGGGACAGCATTGTAACCAGGAACCAGAAAACCTGACCTAAGGAATTAAAAAGTAGTTGAGGGGGAAAAAAAAAAACACCCTTGCCCTTCCCACCAGGAAAGGAAGTACGTGGCTCTCTGGGTGTGTACGGGGGAAATGGAAGATATCCATTCCCACAGCCTGGGCACACACTGTTCATGGAAGGGAGATCAAACAAAAAAGTAATCTCACGCTTTCTGGCTTAAACACCCAAGTTTGCAATTTATATACACATGTCATTTCAATCCTAACAGGAAGTGCATGTGAAAAAGGGGAAGAGGCCCACAGAACATAGCAGGGATGGGAGTAGAAATGACTTTCAGAAGGAAAAGGGTATAGGAAAGATAAAAGGGCACTAACCTTTCCCATTAAATAGATGTTTCAAATGGAAGAATAAAAAAAAAAAAAAAAAGCCTTTCATTTTATTTTCAAATGTGTTCAATTACCCCAACACTTGCAGCACATTGTGACTGAAGAGCTCAATAAAAATACCTTTTACTACCTGGATCTTCCACATATTTGTAATTATAGTCACTTACCAAAAAGGAAAGGCAAAACATTTTCTAGAAAGAGAACACCTCAAACCCAAGCAGGACAACTGTGGTATGGAGACATGGCAAAAGCCGTTCACCTACAAATGAATCTCTACATGATCCAAAACCAGCAGCAATGTTTAAAAGTGAAACATCCTTGGTCATGACAGTGTCCTAGAACATCTGTCCTCAGTGGTACCACATTGGGATGGCCAGACTTTGCTGTGCTGATGTTTTTCATGATTTGGTACTGGCTCCTGGGTTGTTATCACCCCTCCATCCATGTCAAGAAAAGAAGCCAACAACTTCTTCTGCTGTCACAGGTGCTGGAGCTGACAAGGGTACACATCAGGACCGGAGTGGAAATCCCTGACCTTCTCTAATGCCAGGGATGGAAGAATGGCAGACTGACCCACAGGGAGCAGGGAAGAAAAGGAGAGAGAGAAAGGAAGAAAGAAAGGAAAATCTCTGTGCTGACAAGCAGCCATTCTTCAATGATGATGCTCATGTTCAGATTTTCCCAGGAATTCCCTAGGAAAGAAAATGACACAGCAGTGACACTCGGCTCTCCTATACTGGTGCATGTTACACCCTCCTGCAGGTCTTCCCATTCCCCTGGCAAATACTATGGTTTAAGCATTTGCAGCTGGAGTTGCACAGGGGACAGCACTGAGCTTTGCTCTCACGCCCATCAGTGGTTCCCACTAAAAGAGCCAAGCTGAAGGAACTGCTCTGCAAACAGCTTTTCCAGAGCATCCAACTTACAGCAGAGATGTGCCACGGACAAGTGTTCTCAGATTCCCGTGGCTCCCCTTCCCAAAATCTGCTCTGCAAGGAGGTGGAGAGCGCTGACTCTGTCCTAAGCCAGCCCAAATATCTCACCCACTCTGGAGGCCAATATACATCTCTCTTACTCATGGGTGCACGTCACGGTAAGCCCCAAGCCCCAGCCCCCCTGAGGCAGAGGTGACCCCGGTGAGCCGGGCCGTTACCGCAGTATTCGAGGTAGCTCTGGACTCCTGTAGATGTACTTGTGCCGGTAGCCCAGGTCTGTGTGGAACGGAACAAACTGCACCTTGTAGTCTCGGAAACTCCGTGATGTTGCAGCAATGTTGTAAAGCTGAATGCAAGGGGAGGCTGGTGAGGGACGTGTGTTACTCCAAACCCACATCCCTCTCAGGGTTAGGTTACGGGCCCTGGTTTGAGCAGCTTTGATAGCTCTGGCTTCATTTCACTATCGGTTTGCCACCTCCAACAGCACAGAATCTGCACTCCCTTTGGGCTATTTGTTTCTACATACACCTTTCTATTGCTGGCTTTTTGCCTGGTTGGGATGTCATTTTATCCATACCCGTTCCTCCCACCAGATCAGTTTGCAGAGCCACATGTGTACCTTTTTTCCCAGATGAAATGGTACCACTGGATCATCCTCAGCGTGAAGGATAAGCAGCGAACAGGAAATGTATTTCACACTGTAAAACAGACAACAATGTCACAAAGGCTTACAGCAATCCCATCGTTCTCCAACAGTAATGTGCATTTTTAAGAAAACTGTCGTGACAAACATGTCCTGTGGGTTATTAAGTGCAATTCAAAACACTTATCTGGGCACCATTCCTTTGATCTGTAGAAAATTTACTAATGAAAGGCATCCTCATAAAAACTATTTGCTGCTTATACCAGAGAAAAGTGGCTCACCACACTGTAAAAGCATAATCCCCACCAAGGTATTTTTTCATTTCACTACTGGAAATTCACAAATGTTCAGACTCTTCAATCAAAGACTCAGTGAAAAGAGATAATGTGATTACAGGCAAGGTGGCTTATGCAACTGGACAGCAAAGAAATCTTCCCAAACCTTTCAGGTTCCGATGCTACTGTTTAATGTGTAACATACACTTGAAAAGTATAAATCACATGAACCAAATCTGCATATTCCTGAGTAGTCTCCATGGTCTCTATTGCACCTGTCCTTATTAAGAACAATTAAAAAAAAAAAAAAAAAGAACTCCGCAGCAAAGTTGTGCTGCTCTCAGGACTGTGAGAGTAACTGAAATCACTTCAGCAAGTGTAACGCTGCAACACTTTCAAAAAAAAGAAGCCAGTCTGATGTCTGTCCTACTTGATGCTTCCCATGGCTCATTGCAGCTACAGCTGACACCCCAGAAAAGAGGGAACTCACTTCTCATCGTTTGCAAATTTAATGCCACTTGTCGTGATGGGGTCAAGGAAGAACCAGTCAAACCCAGGGAAGTATCTGTATATCTGAGAGGAAAAATGTGCATTAGTGGCAGGCCCCAGCAGGACAGTTATACAAACAGCAGTAACAGGGCAGTAACAGGGCAGAACATTGCCATCCTGGTAACATCTCTTGGCTGCTGACTGCACTCTCTGCAGTGAGATGGCCCACGTTTCCACCAGCATTATTTTTCCTCCACTGTTTCAGGCTCATCTTACCAGCCTGCTCAGGAGCAGGCACTTCAGGTGTTTGCATGGTCAAGGTCTCTAGGAATCATGCAGGACTGTTGGCAACAGTCTTCCTGGAAGAGCTTTAGCCCAGGGCACCTCAGCCAGCCTGGCTGAATCCCACACCTGGAGTGGGTGTCTGCTCTATTCACTCCCATGCTGGATGGAAGAGGTGGCCACATTAGAGTGAACTCAACAGGGGAACCACACAAGTGCAAAGGGTCCACATGGTAGAGACCAAGAGAAGCCCATCCCTGTCACTGCTCTGCTCACACCCATAGAATAGCCTCCTGCAACAGAGAAGCTACAACACAACAAGAATGGGCTGACCCCTGCTGAGAGCAGAGTCTGTCTTAACCCTCCCTACAATTACTGCCCTTTCTGATCCCAGTTTGTTTTCTTTCAGCAGGCTCCACACGTGGCTCTGGTACTGCTTAATGTACTAGTGTTCCCAGGAGTTGTCTTAAGTGTCGCTCTTTATCCCAGTGTTTATAGGTATCACTATTGTCCCACAAGCCATGCAGTTAGCTCAGCTACAGCACTTCTGACGGTTAATTTCTAAGCACACAATTAATTACATGCCACTAGTGTGAAAGTCACTGTGTACTTGCCACAGAAAAGGGGTGACTTCGTGCCTCCTCCCGTATGTTGGTGAATGGAGATTCCAGTATCAGGGCATCCGGGGGCGTTTCTGAAAAGCCGAAGGCAATGTGCTGAAATGTAGGGGTGCAGATAGCCAACAAGGTCAGGGTCTGCCTTATGAGAGCAGCTGCCACCACAGTGCACCAAGGACAGCTTTGTCACAACCCCAAACATATCTGGGACGGCAGCAGAGCCTGTGCTGGGTGGGAGGAGAATCCAGGCACCACACTTACCTCTCTCGCAAAGGCGCCTCACTAGATTTGTTGCAACCCTGGAAAGAAGAACGAGCATTTAATTGGCACATGCCCTCTGAAAGCATCAGTGCCAAAGGTAAAAGTCAACTGTCGTAACACTGACCCTTATCCAAGGTCTGGTCAGCCAGCCCACAACGACTTGGGTTCTCACCAGCCTCCCATACCCCACTGTCCCAAATGACATCAGGTGCCTGCATTCCAGTAAGTGAACAAGTCCAAGGAAGCAGCACATCACGCGGCCACACTTGGATGGACCTCCTTTCAGGTGGCTCTCAGGCTTCCAGCACATCCATGGCTATGTGACACAGCCTCTTACTCCCAGACCACAATTGCTGAGCAAAAAAGAGGGGAATGCAGGGGTATAGGCAGAGGGGTGTTGTGTTTCAGGCAGCTGGAGTGCAGAGGCCCAGGGCTACACTGCAAGGAGAGTTTCCATACCTAGGTCTCCCCTATGCATCACCCTAGATGGGACAGGGATATTTCTAAAGTTGCTGAATCCTCCAAGCAGAGCACAATTCACAAACCTTAAACTCCAGACTGGCTGTGGTCACCAGGGAACTCAGCTGGGGACCTCAGTCCCAGGATACTCTGATTGCAGTGCATTGGGAAATGCTAGAAGTGTGCTCTGACCCAGAAAGGGATCCTGGACTGGGCAAAAACATTTAGAGCAGGAGCCAAAGGAAAAGCCTTTGCCTTCACTCGAACAAAGCAGGATATTTAGTGTCAGAGCAATGAAGATGCACTATCCTGCATTACCTCCCTGTCCCAGCAACACATTTGTTGCACAGCCAGGCAAGCTGCTGTGGGCTTACAGTTATATCTGCACAGAGCTCAACTCAAAGGTAACTCTCGTGTTTGCCCTCTGCTCCTCCGCAAATCATGGAGGTAAGAGCATGTGCTGCTGGCTGAACACAACTCACCTTCAGACAGCAACAGAAAGGGAGGAAGCAGGAAAGGAAAGTTAAAAATGTGACGGTAAAGGTACTTGGCACTCATGTGCCAGACATGACCACAAAAATGTGACAGGTGGCCAGCAGTGTAGTCACGCAGGCATCTGCACAAGTATTGATCACATACAGCATTTTTACCAGGACAGGAGGAAAACCTTTTGTAAGGACAAGTCACATGTGTATGTGGCTGGTCTGAGCAGCTCTTTCAGAGTACCAGAGAAGTCTGATGTTCTGCTCTGAAGGACATACAGACACAGGTTCACCACGGGAAGAAATCAGCACAGTCCTACTTTATCTCTCTGCATTCTGCTATTCTAAGTCTTTTCCAGTGTGACCCTCTGGGCAATGAAGGTTCAAGATCAATTGCTGCACAGTCATCCACTGCAGCCCTTCTCACTCTGTAGAGTGCAAAGGGGAAGCTACCCTGCAGAAATTATGCCACAGATGCCAAGCCAAGCCATCCTGGGGATTACAGCAAACAGCACCTTCACCCAAGGTCAGTGTTTAATGTTTTTCAGAAGCTGCTCAGTTCCACTGAGATTAGATGCTTACCCTGTGCCCAGGGAGTGTCCCCATATATAGACAGGATTGTCTCCACTTCGTGCTTTTATCCAGTCAAAGACATGAAGGGCATCGTAGGTCATTCCCCTCTCTGACGGGCTGCCTATTGAATCACCCCAGCCTGAAACATAAATAGTCCTATTAAGAATCACAAACTGGTCAGCAAAGCTCTTTCCCTGCAGCCCATCTGACACTGCAAAGGGACCTGGGGCATGGGCAGTTTCTGTTCATTTCACTGTGCACCTCTACAATTTGAGGCTGAAAGCCCTAACTGATCTGTAGTCATTTAATCAAGGTAACTGCTGGCTGCCAAGCAGTTTTTGTGGATTTAGTCAACAACAAAACCAAGGAGGACTGGATCCCAAACACTGCTACAACTGTGTGTTGCACGTACCCATCTGCAACAGTCGGGCTCGCTAACCTCCCCTGCTTTTGCACGCATGTAACCAATTTGTAAGCGGAGTCTGTAACAGCACAGGAATTGGCTGCCTAGGGCCAAAGACTAAGCACGTCTCACAAAGCTGTTGCGACATCAGTTTGTCTGTGCTGTTCGGTCAGTGCCTTCGAGCAATTTTCCACCCTCCTGACTGTTTTGGCTCCATCACTATTGCAGCACATCCATACACTGTACGCTAAGCAGCCAGCATCCCACATCCCTTCTGATACCTAATAAGCAGCCAGAGAAGCAGCTGCCAGCAGGACTGAAAAACAGGGCAAGCTCCCACAAATAAACCTCTCCCAGATGTCTTCTTGATAAAAATGCAGTGGATTAATTTCTTTCCTCTATCTCCAGTGGCATTACACTGCAGCCATGGCTTAAACGCTAAGAAGGTAAAAAAAGAGCAGCAGATGCCTGACTGTTGGTGGCAGAGTTGCAAAACAGTCATGGCTTTTGCTGAGTAGGTTGCCAATTGTTAGCAAATCATTTAGTCTCTTATCTCACCCATTAGCTTTTAAAAGGAAGTAAGTGCAAGTTCAGTTCCCTGTGTGACTTTATGACACTCAACCAGATCGTATCCAATAGAACACACCTAGGCAAGCATATTTTTATATTCCACATGTGCACCTGGAGGGTGACTTAACTGGATGCTGTAACACTCTGTGTGCCTGGCTCACCCTCTGTTCCTTAGCTCCCTCATCAACAAGCCCTGCGCATGAGGACAGACAGGAGCCAGAGTCCACTGAGCTGGACATTGGAAAGCAATGCTACACAAAAAGGCACTGAAAAGAAATTTTGGGAAATTCTTTGGATACCCGTGAGGGAAAAAAAGAAGCAATAACAACATCTAACTAGCTGGCAGCAAGTTTTACAAAAGAACAGTTTGCCTGAGATTAAAAAAAAAACAAACCTGAACTCTGTGGATTGTACAGAAAGAAACATCTAAAGCTGTTTCATAATAAAAGAAGTCCACGTACCTCGGTAGTCAAACGTCACCACGTGGTACCCGAGGGAGCTGAGAACCTGGAAGACAGAGAAACACACAGAAACTCATCACAGAGACTTTCACACCATGCTCTTGCGTCAGGCCGACATTATTGACATGTCAACTTACAGCTTGTCAGTGTAGCAGGCACAAAGTTTTCCAAACACTAATCATCTCAGCCCACTAGTTTTACTTCATGTGTTTCCTGGACCTCATATCAGGCTTCCTAAGATATTGATTCTCCCTTTAACAGCTTTGCCCTTAAGATCTGCAAATATCCTACTGTTTTCCCTACAAAGACTGTTGTGTTTTCCAGTGAAACTGTACAACTGCTTCAATTATATTGCTCAAATTGGGATAAATGTACGTATATAGAAGCCTATTTCAGAAGGCTTAAATATATAGATCCAAAACTTGCAATTGCTCTCTTAGGAATAGGTAATCCTAACAAAATCTGTTAAAAGCAAGTAAAAGTACTCAATGTTAGATCAACTTACTTGGATAAAGTGCCTTGGAAAAAACAATGTTAGCATTCCAAGCTACCATTGCTTGATATGAACCTAACAGCTCTGTGGCAGATAAAAAAAAAAAAATCAACAAAAAGTCACAAAAGGATTTAAATGCTGTTGCTCTTGTGGTCTGTGTATGATACATGATTTTAAAAAGCAATCTTAGCATTATGCTATACTCTAAAGAGGAAATATGTAAATATAAACCCAACATTTTATTTCTAATGTAACTGAAATTTTAACAGCCTGAACAATTACTGTTACAAATTCAGACCTCATTAGTACAGGGGAAAAAAGGAGGAAGATAAGATAATGTAGAAAAGAGCTCAATTCCCTTGCTGAGAGGACTATGATGGTGATGGTTTCTCCCTCTTCCCTGATGTATCCATCCAGGGCTAATTCTCATATATTTTGGACATGCACTGGACGTTTCTCTCTCGTCATTATTAGAAGCACCAGCAAAAATGGCAGCATCCCAGCCTGTTTCATTCAGCTGGAACAAACACAAATTCGGAGTTTCTGGAGTTCCAGTAAGCCCATGTGTGTGTTCAAACGTGAATAACTGACTGAAAAAGACAAACTAAGCAACTTCTCTGGATGTTCTCAGAAGCAAAGAAACCAGATTCAGGAACAGAAACCTTGTGTTTTGGTAAACTGTGCTCTCCATACGTGTACACAGAGAAACACACTGAGTATTATGAACATTGCTACTCCTGTCCCTCAAAATCAGAAACAATTCCTCTGCCTGTCTTGGCCAGCACAAAATGCACTGCAGCATAGGCTGCCTCCCTGAAAAATGACCAAATAGATCCTTCTACATGGCAGTCCCCTCAACCAATTTTCTGCAAATCAGCTCATCCTTTTTTCTTAAAGGAAATATCACCTGCCTCCTTGGGCTTGCCAAACAGTATTTTCTAACCGATCTGAATGTAAAAAAGACTTTGCAGAAGGGGATCTTGTATTGCATTGCAATAAAACTTTATGAGTGTCACCACTTGACACAAATTATAAAGAGAAGAAAATGGTAGCTAAACCCCCAGGAAAAACATAGACTCAGACCCTTCTGAAACGAGTTAGCAAAAAGGATTATGGCTCTGTTAGAAACACAATATGAGGCCAAGAAATTGTGTGTGAGAATTTCAGCCAAAAGAGAGTTTAATAAAATACATTACCCCAAAAGTCACTAGACAAAACACTTAAGGCAACTGAGGCAGCTGTTCTCACATAACAGATCATAGTGCTACATATGGGAAATTCATTAGATTTTGTACAAAACCTTCTGCACTTAAGACGGCACCACTCATACAAATGGACTGTGCCATAAGGAAGGGGGAAAACCAGACTGAATACTCTTAAAATGGTATCTTAAATTAGTACATTAATCAATCAAATCATGGCTGTAATTGAACAAAACTTTTGATTTTTCCAATAAACTATGTCGTGAAAGTATTCCTGGCAAAGAACCTGGTTAGCTCAGTTGGAACTGGCAGTTAACATCAGCAAATAGAAGACTTTTCAAGTATCTTTGAACATGGGTAAGTGTGCTCACACTTACCTTTTCCCATACTGGTTTCCTATTTAAAGGAGACTAAGAGCCCCAAGGTCTGTGCCTGTCCATCGTGGGCTGTCATGAGCAGTCTTCTCAATTATGTGCACATCTGATGTGTTAATGCAACTGTTTGGACAGCACACACAGCCACTTACCTTGTAAAGCTCCACACGGTGATCCCCTCCTCTGGCAAGAGTGATTCATGAAGAGGAGAAAATAAAAGAAAAACAAAACAAACAACCGCATGTGAGCATTTAGGTTTCCAGAAACATATTTTGCCACTTGCCTCAGGCAATTTAAGACAAACATGCCAAAACCAAGAAATGCCATAACTGCTTTGTCACAGGTTTCGAGGAGACAGCAAGGCCTTGCTGAGTTACGCAGGACATAATTGTGAAGTCAACTTCTCCCTGTAAATCCTGCCTCACAGCAGGTAAAGATGAACTTTTCCACCCAGTCTCCTATCCACCTTTTCCAAAGACTGTAATACATCCAAAAGAGCCCGTCCCTGTTGGCTTTGCAGACCCTGAGTTCTTGCCACCAGTGTTGCCACAGCCAGTAGCCCCTGCTCTCCAAGGTGTGATGCTGGCAGCAAGACCTCATGACATTAACCCAAGCAGCTGGTCCTTGGATTTTCTCACCTGGTTCCAACCACAGGGGAAGAAGGGACATGTGCAAAAGACTGAGCAGAGAAAAACAGAGTTGAATATTGTAAATAAGTCCAGGAGAAGAATCGTCTAATGTTTGGGGGGTTTAGATATACAAATTGAAATCTAGACAGTTAAATGGAAAGGAATGTGAATGTGCCATTACATACCTTAAAATATACGCACAAAATGACATGGCTATTCCACATTCAAACTTCAGTCTAGTATTGATGTAAATTTACTCTTGCACTCATATGAAAGCTATAAAACATTCACACTATGACTGTTTTGGTCAGTGCAGCCTCTAAATCAAAAAGCCAAATCTCCAGACCTCCCTCTATGAACATATTCACTTGCCAGCCAAAAAACTGTCAGCTCCAACTACAAAATACCTAAGGCAGTCAAAAACACTCAGGGCAAAATGCAAGGGGTTGCTTGTAAGTCACTTTGAATAATACAAGCCTAAAGAAGATGATCCAATGATCCACTTGCTTGAAAAGTCACCTTTGACATGCACACTTTGGTGCCTTTTCATGCTTTCCCCAAAGTGTAACAGAGGAATTTTTTCTAAGGGGATCAAGCAAACACAACATTTTTGCCACAGCCCCAGATCACTCAAGTGAACTAGAAAGCCAAGGTAGTGCCTTTTACTTATGGTTAATGCAGCCTGCACAAGTAAAGCAGCCTTTGGACAAGTGACAGAATGTGCAGCATAGAAACATACAGCAATATATATTAAATCTGAAATGGCAGCACCAGTGCACCTCCAGCTTCTCCAGTACACAGAATAAAGCGAAACGTGAAATATGTTACTGATTCACAGCTCAGTACTTTAACTCAGTAGCACTTGGGGAAGCCAAGAAGTAAATCTAATCAATACACCCATAATAGAGATACTGGTCCCAAATTGCCACCATTAAGCTGCAGAATAGCTTCCATTAGTATCATTTGCTACACCCAATAAAGGCAAAAAACCAAGTTCAGCAGTATTTGAAAAATAATGCTACAATTTGATTAAACCTTGTAAAGCATGACTAAAACAGAATTTCTTTACATCATGGAACTTGTTTTTTTGGAACGTTTCTGCTCTTGCAGAATGTTTATGGGCAGACATCAGCTTTAAAAAAAAACAGGCACTGGCACTCAAAACTCAGGTGGTTGATACTCTTTTGTAAAATCCATATTTGTAAGGAAAAAAACCATGCTCTTAAACAAACAAAAGCTCTGTAACACATGGAGATGTGTCAGTAAGAACATAATTCTGAGAAATATCCAAGAAGTTTCACACTGCACTTACAGTTTCTAGCATCCAACAACAAAGTACAGAAAACTAACTTATTACCTTAGCTGATACAGAGTCAACTATAAAATTACAAATTTTAGAAGTGTTCCTGTTCCAGACAAATGTCCTATACGTATGCAATAATGAAACAAGATCGGTACATGACCATCCTCTTTCCTTCTGATTTTCCTTCCTCAGAATGTGTTCACTACTGAAATAAACTCAAAAAAGGAAGTGGAATGTTTATGTAATGTTTGTAAGTAACATATACAGAAGCACTAATACTATCCCATGTCTCGATTCAGAAACTACTATACTGAAAAGTACTTCTCACTACCTGATCTATAAAGGGTCACAACCTCCTGGCTTCTAGCAGAGGGTACAAGGTAAATTACAATATCAGATATCTCTGATAACTGCAATAAATCTGTTCCCATATTCAATATATGTTCTGTAAAATGATCCCTCCCCATAAGTACCTTCTTTTAAAAGGAGAAACACCAAACTGATTTTAAATTTTATTTTGGTTTTAATCATAGATTAGTTTGGGCTGGAAGGGGTCTTTAACCCAAACCTCCTGCAACAAGCAGGGACATCTTCAACTAGATCAGTTTGCTCAGAGCCCCATCCAGCCTGACCTTAAATGTTTCCAGGGATGGGACATCTTCCACCTCTCTGGGCAACCTGTTCCACTGTATCACCACTCTCATTGTAAATATCGTTCCTTATACCTAATCTGCATTGACCATCTTCTAGTTTAAACCCACTACCCCTTGTCCTATGGCTACAGGCCCTAAGAAGGTTTCCTCCATCTTTCTCCATGTGCTGAAGCTGTGGCAAACCAGGAAAACACATCATGAAACAAAGCCGTCGCTGTTTTGTGCCTCACCTTGTTCCCGCATTGCCGTGCAAGTAGAGGATTACAGGATGGTTGGAGCCCAAAGCCTCTTCAAACCACAACTGGTCCTTCCCTCGAGCATTCTTCCATAAGGCTGCAGGGACTGTGTGCCTGTGTATAGAAGGAAAGTTTACATTGTCTGCTGCTACTCAACATTCAAGTTGAATTTTAACTCAGGATTACACACCTCACACAAACTTTTCATAAAATTGTCATGATTAGCTGACAAATGGCCAAATTTAAAAGGCAGTGGCTATGGTTTATTTCTATATTTTCACCTCTATCACTACTGCCTTCAAAACTCAAGTCTGTGCAAGGCATCAAACTTCACAGGCAACCCTAAAGCGCAATTACTGAACTTCCTGTTGCTCTGGAGAAATCTCAATTCCTCGATTTTTATGGTACTTAAGTACTTCAATTAACACACTTATACACTATAAACAAGATTCACTGCTAGGTCAGCAGATGTTAAGAATAATCAAAGTCATCTGGGTTTGGAAAGAGTAAGAGGCATATCTGGCTCCATAGCCAATCTGAGGAAAAGGAAGAGCTCAGGGTCTGATGAGAAAACCATGTGTTTTGTTTTCAGACACAAGGTTCTTGAAGGTATAACATTTTAGCTGCAAAAGCTACAATGTAGAAGAGCCAGGAATTTTTAACTCACAGCTGTTGTTCTGTAGATAATGTAGCTGGGCAGCCTGCTAGAAAAGATTCAACACTGGTGGAATGAAAGAGGAGTGACTGACTAAACAGAAGGTAGGCATTTAAATGAGATAATTACTCTATAATACAAACATTAAAAGCAAGTACATGCCCCAAACCATCTCAGTTGTTGAGAAGGGGGCTTGCTTACAGCTATCAGAAGTAACTTAAGTACTCACATGCCTTTCTCCTTGAAAGACAGAGAAGCTTCCACCTATCACACTACCCTCCCAGATAAAAAGCTCAAAGACAAACTAACACAGGGGGAAAACAATGTAAAAAGTCTACTTGCATGCATGCAGTCAGCACACATTGAGCCTCAATAACTGTGGGACTCACAAATTCTCCAACTGTTCTGCCCCAAGACTCTTGCAAGCTTATGAACAAATCAGGCTGAGGACTTTGTTTCAGAAGTATACCAAACACAAGACCTACACTGGCATTAAAAGGCAAGGTTCCAAATTCTTCTGAAAACCTCTCATAAACATCAAGACAAATGACAAACTCTGAATTGCCACCACAAGCTGGAAGTTCTGTTTCAGTGAAGAGACACAGTATGTTTGTAAGAGAAAAAAACTACTAATCTCAAGACTGCAATACAAACTTGTTTAACAGCTTAACAGGTGGGATTTTAACTGTCCAAGTGAAGAATGAAACCACTATTTATCAGCTTACCCTGGAAAGACTGAAGTACTCAAGTTTCTAACTATGCCTTTCATCAAAATTTACTTATAGGAAAGGAACTGTCTTGATGTAGTAGGATATCAGTATCCATTTCAAAAGGTCATACACCCTGTGAAGAGAAAATCTCTACTGCATGAGAGGACAAAGTTACACACACAACTGAAAACTCCAGATCCTACAGCTTACAGATCAAACATTGATCTTTATTAAGGAACATCACTTTTCCTCCATACCTGACATGATCCTGGGTAACAAGGAGCTAAAATGAATTGCCCTTGCCTGGGACCAGAAAATCATCTTTGTGAGACAGGAATGACAAGTGAACTCCAACACTGTCACTTGTTTTGTTAAGAGAGTAAACTGTGTGTTCTGCTCTCACCCACTCTCCAAATTTTACATATGTTTTATACACAGAATATTCTTCCTCCTACTCTGAACACTTTGATCCTCTCCTCCTATCTTCCCCCACATCTATTTTGCAAAACAAAATATGAACAGCAGTTGAATGACAAAACGTCTAACTCCTTGTGTCTTGCCTCATATGGAGGTACAGTATTTGTAGTGATGCAGACCTGTAACCTTTATGATTCCAAATTATGGAGTTTCTCTGAACGCACAAGTTGTCTGACTGTAATTCATGCATTACTGATCCGAGTTCAGATGAGCTCCAGATATTTGCATACTTTTCAACATGAACTTGGTCACTTGGCAGATGAAAATACAAACATCTACAAAGGAGAGCATGCACAGCAAAAAGACTGGATAGGCAACACTGAGAACAAAAGAAGGATAAAGATGCAAGGCACATACTTCACAGAACAGGCTTCCTTACCAGACTCCGATGGTTACATCCTCCTCTGGCTGCAGGTAATAATTACAGGTATGGTTTAAACCTTGATCCTGTGGTCTTTTCAAGTCAATGAAATATGGGACCCTCACTGAAATGATAAAAAAAAAAAAAGGATATTAAACCTTTTAATTTTGATTTTTACCTTTATTTTCTTAACCAAGACACTGGAGAGTTTTACAAACTGGTCCTCAGTGCTGGGAAGACCTTATTCTTTTTGTGTAAAAGGATTCACTGGCTACAGCTGTGATTAAGACATAAATAGCAAAGAAAGCAAGGTAAGAAGACACAAGCAGCCATCAAAAAAACAAGGAGCAGGCTAAAATTAAGAGAAGGTGGGACAGACAGACAAAGCTTCCTCTGATACATATTTAATCATCCCTGTCCAGTTTGCGTTATAAACCTCCACTGCATGAATGGGGTGGGTTAGCTCATTTGGCAAACTTATGATTCTTTTTTTTCCCATACCATTAAGCTACACTACAGCAGTAGCAGGAAGTCTGTCTCCTTGAAACTTACAAAAGCTTTTATGCTTTTGACACAAAAAGCAGTACTGATAATGGTGACAGTCAAATCTCACTTCGCTAATTATCTATAAAAATCATTTAACTTTACACAAACATGAAAACCGAAGCAGAAGACAGCTGATGACAAATCTGGACCCTCAGACTGCGAATCTATACCTATGCAAGTCTGTTTGCTCTTATGCAAAAGCAAGGGGAAGAGTCCCAGACAAACAATGCACGCCACCAGAGACCTGTTGGGTGACTGTGCTGTCATCACAGAACTCAACAACACTCTCACAAGAACAGTGGATGCTCCAAGGAGGATGGTAAGTTCTGTGGTTGAAGTCTGGGCAGGCACACAAGTCACTTCTAGCAGTGCTCTGGGAAAATTATTCAACTACTCTTGTGCCTGGATTTTCCCATTTGCGAAATCTCTCATGACCTTCTTGCCAGATTTTGTATGACGAAGACATGAACAGGAACATACCAATATTAGTCAAGGGAGCCAGGGAAATATCTACCTCGAAGCAAGAGAAAAATATAGGGGGACAGGCAATTCTTATGTATGGCACTTATCAATGGCATAGTCCATCTATTCTACACACAAACAGATCAGAGTCATACATCCCATGGAGATTTAGCACATCAAGGATGTTTTTAGTTGCAGAGGTATTTGGTTGGCATCAGTCACAACATACCAAATGACAAAAATCACATGATTTATTAATCATACTGATACACTAAATCTGATCTAGTCTGTGTTTATGCTTGTAGAAATCTCAGTTTTCAGAAGACCTCTAGCAGACAGCTCGAGATCTCTACCCACATACCCATGTATCTCACAACCTAGTGTTGAGGAAACTTTCCTGTCTGACCATCCCAGACTTTCACTATTGGGACCAAAGCCCACAGTGGGCAGCTCCAGGGGACCCACAGGCGCCCTGTTTGACTCTCACCTCACTGCCAGATGAGTCTCCCTCACCACCTCAGCCCCAGGTTTCTTGTAGCAGAGTCCCACACATCTGGTTCCTCAAAGCAATTTAACTGTGGTGCAGTGACACCGTAACAGCTTGAGGTGGCGCATCCAGGAGTGACACTGAAAAAAGGAATCCCCAGGATTCTGTACCGTCACGGTCTGTACACCTGCTCCAATGGTGATATTTGGTCTGGGGTCTTCTCATGCATTGGCTCCTGCAGAGTCTCTTGGTGACCAGATGGCACCAGAGGTCCCTGTGCCCTTTGTCAGGCAGAGGGTCAACACCAGGTCATGGCCACTTGCTGGGGACTCCTGACATTTCCCCCCAACCCAGGGCACAACCAGCTACCTGACTAGGTGTGTTCCTCCACAATGGAACAAATCCAGACATTGGTTTGTTGCTAACAGTGGGGGCACAGCTATCAATTCATCTTTAGTACCTCAACAAACAAATGGAAGCACTTTTTGCTGAAGCTCTGTACTACTGTTTTGGAAGCAAATCCCAAACTATACAGAAGGAGGAGAAAAAAGATGGTTGAAGAGTAGTGATTTATACTCAAAAGATTAAAATATGACAGGCCAAACCCTACACCACTCCTCTGAAGGAGAAACATCACTCTCCAATGCAGAAAAATTATGCCATATATATCAACGTATTTCTAATTCATGTGTTAGAATGCACTTCATATTAAGGCAAATAGTTTTTCATGGGAGTATTGTCACAAATAAAAGCAACAGGACCAACACTGCACTAGTACTTGCACTAATACCACTGCTAGAAAGAGTTACAGGACAATTATTTCCGTCACTTGGGAATGAATAGGTGCATAAACTTCAGGGAGACCTAACAAAGCTCTGCAAGAACAAATTAAAATCATCACTGAAACCTGCATTCTTCAGGTTACCTAGCTGTCAGTTCTGACCATCAAGGCACAAGAGCTGGCCCACACAGGTGCACACTTCACAGTAACCAGGATCCGAGGTGTTAGAATATACAAAGCATGCAATCAAAATGACACAAATTATACAAAAACAATGTATCTACAGTTAGTCCTTCTAGCTATTACAGTCGAAGACATATTTTTCAAAACTCTGTTACAAAACATAACCCAGGCTTAAAGATAGATTTAGGTTGCTAGGTAGTATCTCTCACAGAGCTTCCATCACTTTCCACCCTGTGGATGCTCAGGCCTCTCGGGGTGATGTGGGAACTGAGCCAGCTCACCAGACCCACTATACCACTAATTTAACCAAACACAAAGGCTAAACAGACATAAGGAAAACATTCAATCTGACTGCATCAACAGGCCTCCTCTGTTTCAACCAGAATATTCTCCTAAAATGCTTCCAGGTGAAGACTCACTGCTTGGAAAACAATTCACTGGATTTAATTTCATTTGCTTGCTGTCTATTCATGCAACTTTGTTGAACACTTCAGAGACACACATCTGACATATTGCACGGTTTTCCCGAAGGCTGGAAAGTTGGCTTCAGTTTGGTCACTGTATTTATAGAGATATGCTACAACAGCCACTAGGGCCACAGAGAATGCTTTCCAAACCACAGTCTGGAGAACTTGCAACTTGTGAAAGTTCATGTCCTTCACAAGCTTTACATATGCAGGGTGAAAGTGAAGGCAGACAAACGGAAGATCAAGACACTTCTCCCCTTCTCCCCTCACCCACCCCAGCAGACTGAGTCACTTACCAAAGTTTAGGAAGACCAGCTTTGCCTGAATAGCAGGGCAAAGTTTTACTAGAAATGGGATGGCTATGTACACTCCCAGCAACCAGATTATTAACTTCCGCAATCGAAACCATAATCCGTGTCGCCTGTATAAAAGAAAAAAAAAAAGAAAAAGAGAGAGAGAGAGAGAAAGACAGGCCTGAATACAGTAGGAATTTTACAGAGTAATTTTGACAATTATCTGTGTGCTTGGTGTATTTGAAAATCTGGTCATTTACTCTTTAAACGAAACCTAATTTTAAACAGTTTATGTAGCCTCATTTGTTTGAGAAAAGCAGAAGTAACCAAACTACCAGCTGGTATCAGCTTAGAAAAAGGGAATAGAAACTCTGTACTGGTTATATTTTAAAGGACTCTGTAACAAGAGCTTTTTTTTCCCTGCTCTTTCAACAGATTTCAGGATCTCTAGAGAATGCATATCACATGACTGTCTCCAAAAAGTAGCCTGATTGTGCTTCCCATTTAAATCACTATCAGCAAGATTTTGTTCAGTTCAGTTGTCACAGATTTTGAGGAACTATGTGCAATGAGACTGATAAAACTACACATGATTTCATCTATGGACTGGAGCAGACATTCTACCTTGTTTACCTAAAAGGGTTTGTACCTCTCAAAGCCCTGAAAAGCAAACCTTCCTAAGTTATAGAACATAATAAATTTCATAATCCACAGCATTATTATCTATGAGTCCAGAATAAATTCAGAACAATTGCCCAAAACTTTATTTAACCTTGAGTAGTCTAACTGGGAAAAATAAGCCACAGAAAACCCCAAAACCTCAAACAAACAAACCAACCAAAAACAAATCCGCAAAGCAACATCAAAAAAGAAAAACAAACAAACAAAAAACCAAACAAAAATTAAGTATCACACAGCAGCTAGTCAAGCAATATATCTTAAAATGCACTTTATTGCCTCAGAATAACTACCAAATACCTACTCAAACATCTATAAATGCACATATATATATACATAAAGGTATACTTGTAATGATCTAGTTGACTGGTATTTCATGTGCAGAAACAGTGAGGCTCTCAACTACCCCTGCGATGAAGAACTAAAATTGATGTAAAGCCTTCAGGCAACAAATTTCTTTTGCTTTTCAGCAGACGGTCTTGAGCAAGAACGATGTTCTATGCAGTGAGCAACCAGTTCTCAGTATCAGGAACTGCTGGCAGCCAAACTTGCTCCACGCTAGTGCTCAGAGGGTTTGGATGCTGTCAGCTTGGTGAAACTGTCAAACAGAGAGCCTAAAGACCTCATTTTTAAACATTTTTACAAGAAATGTGAGCGTACAGACAGAACTGGAATGGAAATAGTTTAAAGCACCAGGATTTTCAAAATCTCAATAGCTTTTGTAGTCCTAGGCTAAAGCCAAGACTGTCAGGAATAGTTTTCCAGCACAGTAAAAAAGACGACATTCCAATCTCCCCCACGCAGCTAAGTTTTTGGCATGATTGCTAGGCTACTCACAGGGAATAGGCTATCCTCTTATTCATCCAAAACCTGCCTCCATCACATTATCTGCTAACAAGTATCTGTCTCTTCTCACCCAGGAACCACATTCTGGACTTCAGAAACATCTACTGTCAAAACTGAGGCCCTTTTCTTGACAAGCTAAAGCAGTTGTCATTTTCCGAGAGGTGAAAAAAACATATTACAAAGACACTGTCAACCAGCTGTGGCTGCAACAAGTGCACACTGAAAAGTTCAACAGATTTTAATAATGCCCAAGGCAAACTTGAAAATGAAGAGGTAAAGAATGCCGTCACGACTTCCAGTGACATTTCCACACCTGAAGCCCAGTTTCCTGAAGTAGTAAGAAAAACAGAAACAGTAAAGGACTTGCAGAAGAAACAATACAAAACAGGGGCTTCAGAAGAAAGTTAGTGAATACCAAACCCTCAGACTGACCCACCTCTGCCCCGTGGAGAGCAGCAAATAGAGGAGGCAGCGGCAGAGGTCCCAAGTACAGAGCAGCAAGTAACAAGCAACACAGTCTGCCCACAGTTGTGGTCTTTAGAAGGGGCCCAGCAGACGTAGTCTAGAGCCAGGGTCTGCAGAGCAATCCACCGTGGAATGAGGTAAGGTCAGCTAAACACAAATGCGAACCCCAAAACTTTGAGGAGAAAAGACACACAGCATTTTGTTTGGGCTACCCACAGCTGATCACAGCTCTCTGCTCTCAGATTTAAAGTCAGCTTTCCACAACCACCCCAACATTAGCCCCTACCACTTATTCCCATAGATGGAATAGGTTTGTGTAAGAGATAGGGTGTAGATATAACCGAAGGGTAGCTGACATTTAGCTGCTGAGCAACTAGAAGACAACTTAGCTATCTTCAACAAGAAAAGTGTGTCTTTTTGTTAAAACTTTTTGTCTCATTCGGCTAGTTGGTCAGAATTAGCCCAACCTTGCCATTTCCCTTCAGCTCACACTTGAGGTAGCTGTCATCACCACCTTCCCACTAAGAACATAATACAGGTAAGCAGTCAGGCAGGATGGGGCTTTCCAGCAAGTTTTCCTGCCTGGGGCCTAGATCCTGCTGCAGCCAAACAGAGCTCTCCTGAGGGACTTTTCCACATGCCAGGATTTCAGTTCTACAGAATAAAAACTCCACATGCTTAGAAAGATACCAGAGCCACGTCTAAACTTCTCCAGGCACAACCAGAGTACATCAAAAGAGAGGGTCTTCAGACATCTGGGTTGTAAAGTACTTCACATGACCCAGCCACAAGTCAGAACCAGGAACAGAAAACACTGAAGACGACACTGTGAAAGTATTGTGTCAGAGTCCAGGAATGAGTCCAGTTTCTCTTTTTTGGAGACTGAACCCAGACATCTTTCTTTGCTCTCATACTCCATGCCAAATGCTAATTGGTAACGTGATATTTACACCTCATCTCCAGGGAGATTTCTACTTAAAATGTAACCAGGGCAAAGCTTCTATCCATCAGACAGGTTCTTTTCTCCTGATAAATCCAAGACAATGTGCTGAAGTATAGACATTATAAAATTATCAGGTAAGTCTTCAGTGAGTAATTTAGATAAATTAAATTGCTCTTGCTTGGTAGGAAAGCTATTTGAGGAAATAAATGTCCTGCAAAAGAAGCTTTTGGTGTGCTCAGGCAAAAGCAGCAGCAACATACCAGGAAACCAAGCCGGACTTAGTTGGGAAATACAAGTAAGTTAGAAAATAAGCAGCTGCAAGCCAAAGATATTTTATAATATCAGAAATGGATATAACAGTAATGTCTAAATAAAACCAGAACAACAAAAAACTTCACACAACACAGAACACCCAATCCGAAGTCACCCCAAAATAAAACAAAATCCCCTGACATCACATTTTCCTCCTTCCATTTACCAAAGGCTTTTGCCCACCTTCTGGGTTCTGTCCAAACACAGGCAAAATCTGAAATAGCTTTTGTTTCACACAGGTTTCTGAAGTGGACATGAAAAAAAACACATTCTCTCTCCAGTCATACTTACATCTGATGAAAGTCCTTGCTGTGTGACACCAGAAACAGAAAATTTTTCTGGTAACTTACACCTGGACGAAGGTCCTACATTCTCTCAGAGAAAGCATATTTTGTACTTGGGCCCCGTATGAGTATCTGGCTGGCAATGAGAAACTGGGAGTCCTTTCATGGGCATTTCTCCTGAGTGTGCTATCTTTGTCTATCAGCACTAAGGGAACCGCAGGTACAAACATCCTTTGCCTCACCATGGGAAGCAACTCACAAATGAACATTCAAGTACTGCACCACCACACAACAGGGATTTCTATCTGTTATCCACAATCACAGTCCATCTGCAAAAAGCAATGGAGTCAAGCAAATTTACTAATTTACTATGGGCATCTTTCAAACCACTGTGCTGGTGTCCCCCCCCTTCTCTCCAGCAAACTTGGGAGGTTTCATGAGAAGGGTCCAACCACCACGCTGCTGAGGCACACTCTGCATTCAGATTCAGATTAAAATAATTTCCCCTGCAGAATATCTAAATCATTTCCACATCAGAAGTACACCAGAAGGCTTTCCATTAGGATCTCCTTATCAGCTGTGCTACAAGGGTGAAAGGCCAAGGGTGAAACAAGAGCTGCAGTCGAGCAAGAACAAAATTTATGAGAAACACAGATACATTGCACTTGCAATCCCAAAAGCATCTATAGACAAATGCTCACACAGTTCACTGGGGCAACAGTAAAACAAAATGCCCACAGACACCACTGTATGAAACTATGTTAGTTCAGCAAATGTTGTCACTCTGGCTTGCTCTGGTGTCCCCATCAGCTGTTCAAACTGCAAACTGGCAATGCTCTTCTGGCAGGAATTCAGAGTACGGGATGTGGAAAGCCAAGACCATTTTCATTCTCGGTCAAGCACGGTACCTCCTGATTATCAGGTGACAAAAGTCACTTTAAAAGCAGCAGAGGAAAAAGTAAAATGGCCTGAATAATGGCATAACAAGAACATATCCCGCCACTTATCTAACAGAATACATTAGAAAAAAAACAAATAAAATCAATACATTTGTCCTCTCAGACAAAGATCAAGAGCGTAACAATCAGGAGGTAGATAAAGACACGAACAAAATGAGGGTCAAAGGAAATTTAAAGGGCTGGGATGGTTTTTTTAGGGGTAAACAGATTTAAACCCAAAACAACCTATTCTACAACCTGGAACTGCAACTGAGCCCCAAGGCACACAGGGGCATGCAGAAACAGTACAGCAGCCATGCAAAGGGCAGGACAGCCCACACGCCAAGTCCCTGGCAAGCCCTTCAGCCTTCTTTGCTAGCTTTGTTTTTAAAAGAGAGATGATTTCTAGCCCAGGTAGGATCTTGAAGAGCACTCCCCTTCCTGTAGAAAGCCTGGACAATGGTGTTGCACAGGGCTCCTGCTTCTTGCAGGTCCTGAAGGGTGAAAGGATCACTCAGTCTTTCTTTTTTCTCCACACAGGCTACCTGAGCCACCCAATCCAATTAATCTTTTATTTTATTTCACTTGTTCCCTGGACAAAGGATAAAAACCTATCGGCCTTCCAACTGTGTGAATATACAGAGGCAGTCTCTGAGCTACTG